TCTCTTTCTCCCTTCTCATCGACTTGCAAACAATTGCATCTCCTTCTCCCTTCTCATTCTCCTGCAAACAATAGCATCTCCTTCTCCCTTCTCATTCTCCTGCAAGCAATAGCATCTCTTTCTCCCGTCTCCTCCTCCTCCCTTCTCATCCTCCTGCAAACACCAGCATCTCTTCCTACTCCCTGCTCAGCACCATCCTAGTAGGCATTCGACTATTTTCAACAGGGTAAAGTGAGGTTAAAATTGTATTTAGTTTATTAATTGATTTGCATTTATGTATTTTAGTATTAAACAGTATTTAAATTATTTTAAGGATTTTTTCACGGGGACGAATTTATCATTTTCCCTTTTTATCTTGCTGAAATATATATAATGTATATCTTGGAATACGTGTAAGGCAGAGGTTCTCAACTTTCCTAATGCGGTGACACTTTAATACAGTACCTCGTCTTGTGGTGACCCCCAACCATAAAATGATTTGTGTTGCTACGTCATAACTTCAGTGAATATTTGTTTTTCGATGGTGTTAGGCGACCCCTGTGAAAGGGTCGTCCGACCCCCCAAGGGTTCGCGATCCAGAGGTTGAGAACCGCTGGTCTAAAGGTTCTGGAACGGATTACTGACTTGTGCCGATGTACTACAATATGTGTGTGTTTGTGCGCGCGCATGCATGCATGCGACTTTTTTTTCTATAAAAAACGTTCCTGGTACTCAACATAACAGTGTCTAAAACGCAACGCCGATACTCACCACAAAGTCTGTATTACAGCCGTGCAAAAAATGCTGCTTAAAAAGAGGTGTCAGTACTGCGTACTGCTGCGTGCCACCAGAAAAACCGCGCGTGTGTGTGTGTGTGTGTGTGCGCGTGTGTGCGTGTGTGTGTGTATGTACATACATATAAACTTTACATATAAAACATGCACCGGTTGAATGTCCTAGTGGCCTCCTACGACCACTCCGACCACGACTGTTTTGCCTGCGCCGTTCTCTCTCATGGAAGAGAGGGCCTGGTCTATGCCCGGGACGGCCAGGTCACTCTAGACATGCTAGTGTTGCCTTTCAAAGGAGATCGATGTCCCTCACTCATTGGGAAGCCTAAACTTTTCTTTATACAGGTATGGCTTTGAGTTCGTCCTCATCAATATCGCCACCATATATACCACCATCGGTACTGATAATCATTATTATCATCATCATTATCATCATCCTAGTTACTGTTATTATCGGTATTTTTTAAAAACATTATTATCGCCAACTGTTCAAGCATGTAGTCAAATTGGCATCAAACGGCTTACAAAAACTTTTCAGTACAACAGGAGAAGAAAGGAAAGTTCTTGACAGGCAACGGGCACTGACAGTACCGATTTGGAAAAAGAAAGTTAATACAGGAGACTGTGCATGGTACAGGAGTATATCACTCTTGAGCCACACAGGAAAAATGTGTGCAAAGTTATTAGAACAGACAGTTAGACCTACAGCGGAACAGCACTTAAATTAAGTACATCACAATTTGGTTTCAGGGAAAGAAAACGTAGGAAGCATACATTATTTACACTAAGACAAGTTTGCGAGAGGACAACTGAATATGTTGATGAACTGAATATTGGTCTGTAGATCAAGAAAAGCTGTTGATAGTGACAAATTATGGGCCATTCTTGAGGATTATGGGATACAAAGACAACTGCTAGATAACATCATTGCCATGTACCACACTTCCCAGCGCAATTATAACAACAACAAAAAGGCATGTCTGACATGTTTACAATCAATACAGGGGTGAGGCAGGGATGTGCGCTCTCTGATTTCCTATTTACTACATATAAAAAATATGTCGGCTCTGTGGCTAAGTCGATGCGAACGCTTCGTAATGCCGGGTTCGATCCCAGGTGCGGGCCATGCGCCTTGCGTTGGTTTCGACAGTGGTATCAGGGGGCTGACCGTCCAGAAGCAATGGCAAACTACTGGACGTTAATTTGCCTAGAGAAACCACTCAACAACCAGGGGCTGCTGGGGTTGGTTCTGCATTGTCCTGTAAAGGATACGCAACTAACCTTAACATAAAATATCCAAAGAAGCCAGCTTTAAAGCAGTCGGCCCAGAAAATGAAGAACTTTACAGAGGAAGAATTAGATCCACACATAATAAAGGAGTTACTATTTTCAGACGATCAGTGCTTATTCTACAATAAGGGGAGTAGACTGCAAGAATATTTGAACAGGCCAAGTTTAACATGCACAAGATATAACATGAAAATAAAAACTACTAAAGCTTAAACAATGCAGGTCGACAGAATTCTGCGTCTGCTACATATCGGACTGAATAGTACTCGTAGAAAGCAAGTTAAAGAATTTAAACATCTAGGAAGTAATTTCTCGGAGGATGAGAGAATGGAATGAGAAATAGAAACAAGATGCCAATGAACCAGTGCACTTTTATATACCAACTGACACCGTTATTAAAACATCCAAACATAAATATAAGCGCCAAGAAACAGATTATAAACACCATACTCATACCAACACTGTGCTATCAGTGCCAGACTTGGACATTATCAAATGCTAACCTATGTAAAATAAACATCTGTGAAATGAGATTCCTGTGAAAAGCCGCCAACTTAACCATGCCAGACAAAGTTAGAAGCCATATTATCAGACAGACTATAGGAAGAACATCATGCAACAGATTCACTGAGAAACAGAAGATCGAACGGTTTGATCATTCAGTAAGAATGCAGCCAGAACTACCTAGGCAAGCCATACACATGAACAGATATGAAATGAAAGCAAGAGGCCGCCCTAGGAGAAATGGACTGATGACATTAAAGAGCTTCTACATCAACATGCAATGACAATAGCCATTGCTGCCCATCAAACAATGGATCGGAAACTGTTACTCCCCACAACGCTTAATGGCAGAAGTGGAAATTGGTGATGATGGTGATGATGACTATCATCGCCAACATCATTTGCTAAAACTATCTACCATTGTTTATTTATTTATTTATTTCTATCTCATACTACTACTACTACTACTACTATTACTATTATTACTATTACTGCTACGTCTACTGCTGCTGCTGCTACTACTACTACTACTACTACTACAACTACTACGTACTACTAATACTACCACAGCCCCGCCATTACCAATACTACAACTACCACCACCACTACTACTACTACTACTACTACTACTACTACTACTACTACTACTACTACTACTACTACTACTACAACTACTACTACTACTTTTACTGCTAAAAAAATACTGTCACTACAGCAACTGCTAATATAATTGCTACTGCTATGGCTACTGCTTTTACTACTGCTGCTTCTGCTAACAATACAGCTACTTCTACTACTACTGCTGTTTCTGCTAACAATACAGATACTGCTATTACTACTGCTGCTTCTGCTAACAATACAGTTACTTCTATTACTACTGCTGTTTCTGCTAGCAATACAGATACTGCTATTACTACTGCTGCTTCTGCTAACAATACAGCTACTTCTATTACTACTGCTGTTTCTGCTAACAATACAGATACTGCTATTACTACTGCTGCTTCTGCTAACAATACAGTTACTTCTATTACTACTGCTGTTTCTGCTAGCAATACAGATACTGCTTTTACTACTGCTGCTTCTGCTAACAATACAGCTACTTCTACTACTACTGCTGTTTCTGCTAACAATACAGATACTGCTATTACTACTGCTGCTTCTGCTAACAATACAGTTACTTCTATTACTACTGCTGTTTCTGCTAACAATACAGATACTACTATTACTACTGCTGCTTCTGCTAACAATACAGTTACTTCTATTACTACTGCTGCTTCTGCTAACAATACAGTTACTGCTATTACTACTGCTGTTTCTGCTAACAATACAGATACTGCTATTACTACTGCTGCTTCTGCTAACAATACAGTTACTTCTATTACTACTGCTGCTTCTGCTAACAATACAAATACTGCTTTTACTACTGCTGCTTCTGCTAACAATACAGTTACTTCTATTACTACTGCTGTTTCTGCTAACAATACAGATACTGCTATTACTACTGCTGCTTCTGCTAACAATACAGCTACTTCTACTAATACTGATGTTTCTGCTAACAATACAGATACTGCTATTACTACTGCTGCTTCTGCTAACAATACAGTTACTTCTATTACTACTGCTGTTTCTGCTAACAATACAGATACTGCTATTACTACTGCTGCTTCTGCTAACAATACAGTTACTTCTATTACTACTGCTGCTTCTGCTAACAATACAGATACTGCTATTACTACTGCTGCTTCTGCTAACAATACAGATACTGCTATTACTACTGCTGCTTCTGCTAACAATACAGCTACTTCTACTACTACTGCTGTTTCTGCAAACAATACAGATACTGCTATTACTACTGCTGCTTCTGCTAACAATACAGTTACTTCTATTACTACTGCTGCTTCTGCTAACAATACAGATACTGCTTTTACTACTGCTGCTTCTGCTAACAATACAGTTACTTCTATTACTACTGCTGTTTCTGCTAACAATACCGCTACTTCTATTACTACTGTTGCTTCTGCTAACAATACAGCTACTGCTATTACTACTGCTGCTTCTGCTAACAATACAGATACTGCTATTACTACTGCTGCTTCTGCTAACAATACAGCTACTTCTATTACTACTGCTGCTTCTGCTAACAAAAAAGATACTGCTATTACTACTGCTGCTTCTGCTAACAATACAGATACTGCTATTACTACTGCTGCTTCTGCTAACAATACAGATACTGCTATTATTACTGCTGCTTCTGCTAACAATACAGATACTGCTATTACTACTGCTGCCTCTGCTAACAATACAGATACTGCTATTACTACTGCTGTTGTTTTTCTAACTTTCATTTCCATTCCTGGTTGACGCAGGCGTGCCAGACCAAACGACAAGGCATCTACCTAGACCCGCCCTCAAGACAAAGCAAGCCTTCACGATCTCCTTCTCCAGTATCACCATCATCCAGCAAACAACATTCCCTGGGTTCCCAAAGTCTGACGGGCGACGACGACGCTAGCGAAAGTTCTGGTATCGTTCACATGAGGAAGATTCCGATAGAGGCCGATTGTCTCTTCTGCTATTCCACTGTGCCAGGTAAATGGGTCAACTGTTGTGGTTAGTTAATTAACGCAGGGTGTTTCTAAAGTCGCACTGCACTGTGTATGTAAAGAAGATTTGTGAAATGAAGTACATGACGTCATCAAAAAATGTGCTTCACAGTCAAACGTGAAGCAACATGCAGCGAATGGCTGTCTGCTCGAGCTAGACCGGCTTTAGTTGACTGGAGCAGGTCGTGTAATTCTTGACGCTCAACAGAATGATGTTATCAACGGAAAGAGAATTCTTCAAAAGCAGCACCGCAGTTTTGTAGAGAGGGGGGGGGGGGGGGGGGGGGGGGCGGCAGAAATGTTGGCCAATCACATAACATCATGTGGAATTTGGCCTGCTCGTTCTCCAGATCTAACTCCGTTAGATTATTATGTATGAGGTTTCTTCGAAGGAAATGTTTACACAAAAAATGTACACACAATTGAGGACCTGAAAGAAGAAATCTGAATTACCACTCAAGAAATAACAACAGACATCTTGCAGACGACATTTGACAATATGAAGAGATGCTTACAGTCATTTCTTGAAACTCGTGCTGGACATTTCCAATTTTTTTTTTTTTTTTTTTTTTTTGGTCAAAAGAATCGACTTCATTGAACCGGATTTTATCCCATAGGGATCGGTCTCTCTCCGCAGAACGGCTAGCAGCCTGCCGACAGCGCAGCACATAACTCGGTAGCTCCGGCGACGATTCCCAGATATCTCCGTAAAAATTGTTAACTGAAGGGTGCAGTCGTGAAACGAACCCACGACTTTCAGAGCGCGAGGCAAACGGCTTGACCACTTCGTCACGAAGACCCCATGGACATTTCCAAGACCTGTAACGAATATTTCATCGGTATTTTCCAGGTTCCTCAAAACAAGGTCTATACCACAGCAGTAACTATTTTAACTCATTTAATGACCTTTTAAGCATACTGTTATGACATCACGTACTTGGGGGTTTTCTCATTTGTTCTGTATATTGTGGTAAGACTTTACTAACACACGATTTCATGAAATGATATCAAACCAAACGAAAACCAGAACCAGTCAACCTCCCATTATCACAAACGTCAAGTGCACGTTGCGACTATAGAGCCTTCATCAGTACATTACATGAATACACAATACGTATGAGCTGGTGAAATGCCTTATGTAATAATTCTACGTGTGTATAATAGCCAGCTTATCGTGCCTCACTATTTCCATTAACAAGAGATTGCATTTCTGGTGGTCGAAAAAGCCTTTCACAAGGGTCGCCTAAGACCATCGGAAAACACATATTTACTGAAGTTATGAAGTATTACCGAATATATTTTGTATGGCTGACGACCACAACCACAACTTGAGGAACTGTATTAAAGGGTCGTGGCGTTAGGAAGGTTGAGAACCACTGCTCTAGTGTCAGGTGCCCGATGGCCCACTGTCGTGAAACGGGTCCAACAAAACTTATAGCCAAGCGATGATGTGTATAATAGCAACGTGCCAAGCGATGCTGTGTATAATGGCAACGTGCCAAGCGATGCTGTGTATAATAGCAACGTGCCAAGCGATGCTGTGTATAATGGCAACGTGCCAAGCGATGCTGTGTATAATAGCAACGTGCCAAGCGATGCTGTGTATAATGGCAACATGCCAAGCGATGCTGTGTATAATAGCAACGTGCCAAGCGATGCTGTGTAAAATAGCAACGTGCCAAGCGATGCTGTGTATAATGGCAACGTGCCAAGCGATGCTGTGTATAATAGCAACGTGCCAAGCGATGCTGTGTATAATAGCAACGTGCCAAGCGATGCTGTGTATAATAGCAACGTGCCAAGCGATGCTGTGTATAATAGCAACGTGCCAAGCGATGCAGTGTATAATGGCAACGTGCCAAGCGATGCTGTGTATGATAGCAACGTGCCAAGCGATGCTGTGTTTAATAGCAACGTGCCAAGCGATGCTGTGTATAAAAGCAACGTGCCAAGCGATGCTGCGTATAATAGCAACGTGCCAAGCGATGCTGTGTATAATAGCAACGTGCCAAGCGATGCTGTGTATAGTAGCAACGTGCCAAGCGATGCTGTGTATAGTAGCAACGTGCCAAGCGATGCTGTGTATAATGGCAACGTGCCAAGCGATGCTGTGTATAATGGCAACGTGCCAAGCGATGCTGTGTATAATTGCAACGTGCCAAGCGATGCTGTGTATAATAGCAACGTGCCAAGCGATGTTGTTTATAATGGCAACGTGCCAAGCGATGCTGTGTATAATGGCAACGTGCCAAGCGATGCTGCGTATAATAGCAACGTGCCAAGCGATGCTGTGTATAATGGCAACGTACCAAGCGATGCTGTGTATAATAGCAACGTGCCAAGCGATGCTGTGTATAATAGCAACGTGCCAAGCGATGCTGTGTATAATGGCAACGTGCCAAGCGATGCTGTGTATAATGGCAACGTGCTAAGCGATGCTGTGTATAATGGCATCGTGCTAAGCGATGCTGTGTATAATGGCAACGTGCCAAGCGATGCTGTGTATAATGGCATCGTGCCAAGCGATGCTGTGTATAATGGCAACGTGCCAAGCGATGCTGTGTATAATGGCAACGTGCTAAGCGATGCTGTGTATAATGGCAACGTGCTAAGCGATGCTGTGTATAATGGCAACGTGCCAAGCGATGCTGTGTATAATAGCAACGTGCCAAGGATGATGTGTATAATAGCAACGTGCCAAGCGATGCTGTGTATAATGGCAACGTGCCAAGCGATGCTGTGTATAATGGCAACGTGCCAAGCGATGCTGTGTATAATGGCAACGTGCCAAGCCAAGCTTTGTATAATGGCAACGTGCCAAGCGATGCTGTGTATAATAGCAACGTGCCAAGCGATGCTGTGTATAATAGCAACGTGCCAAGCGATGCTGTGTATAATGGCAACGTCCCAAGCGATGCTGTGTATAATGGCAACGTGCCAGGCGATGCTGTGTATAATGGCAACGTGCCAAGCGATGATGTGTATAATAGCAACGTGCCAAACGATGCTGTGTATAAATAGCAACATGCCAAGCGATGCTGTGTATAATAGCAACGTATCTGCTAAAAAGAGGACAGGGACGTTGAACACGAGATAGACTAAAACAACGTGGAACGATAAAATCGGAGAAACTCAACAACCTTATATATGCCTAAGGTCAAGGTAGTCAGAAGAGCAAAAACCAGAACACCGTATTTCCTTCGATGTCCGATGTTGTGGTGAAAGGAGGAAGTCAAGAAGAATGATGAGAATACAGATCAAAAAAGTAATGAGGATGTCTTGAAAAAAAAACTGGCTCACGAAGAGAACTGATTGCCCACATCAGAAAGATACAATCTATATTCTCTGGTCATGTGATAAGAAGGAGAAAACTGGAGTTATTAGTGACAGCAGGAAAGTTGGAGAAGAGGCAGGGGGAGACCAAGAGAACAAATGCTGGAAAGTTTGACATAATGGCATGGAAGATAGCTGTATCAGAGCTGATAGAATGCACATAAGAAAGAAGGTTGTGGATAGCAGGACTACCAACGCCACACGGCATGGACCCTAAAAAATTTTTTATAAACAATACACAGGGTCGAAGGAAAAAGATGTGTTTATCACCCTGACAGTTTACGAAATATCATTCTGCATGGTATATCATTCTGCATGGTATATCATTCTGCATGGTAAACCATTCTGCATGGTATATCATTCTGCATGGTAGAGCAACAGGACAAACCCCAGATACCCTGTTCAGCCACCAAAGAAGTTGAAATTATGGCGCCAGTAACAGGTTCATCATTCTGATAAAACCTGCAGTCTAGCGCCGGTGTCGGCTCTGTGGCTAAGTCGATGCGAACGCTTCGTAATGCCGGGGTACCGGGTTCGAACCCAGCTACGGGCCATACGCCTTGCGTTGGTTTCGACCGTGGTATCAGGGAGCTGACCGTCCAGTAGGCAATGGCAAACTACTCGACGTAAATTTGCCTAGTGAAACCACACAACAGCCAGGGGCTGATGGGGTTGGTTCAGCAACGACCTGTAAAGGATACGCAACTAACCTAGCGCCGGTAAGGACTGGCACACCGGGTTAGCTGCACGTGATTGTAAAACGTCTTTATGTGAGATGGTTAACAGATTATGCTCCATTGGAGGATAAGAAGGCGGAGGACGAAGAAGAAGACGAAGCAGCATAGCAGTAGTAGTACTGCTAAGGATTATTACAACCATCTTTTTTCTTAGAATGTGTCCTCGTCCTCACTGTCGCGAAAACGTGCTTATTAACAAAATAATTTATCCACCCCTGAATATATTATTAATACACACGTACGATAGCCTCGGACATTCCAGAATGTTCTCTTCCCCTCCCCCTATCATCTTATGCATATAAATATGACAGGTGTATCGACATTTTTTATTCCCAGGCTACTATTCCTGGCGGAACAACCAAGACGGGTCGTGGTTTATCCAAGCGTTGTGTATCGTGCTGGAGAACTATGGAACCAAGATGGAGCTGCTGCATATGCTCACACATGTTAACCGCATCGTTGCATACGAGTTCGCCTCCTGCAGCGACCGAGAGTTCGGCGAGTCCATGAAACAGATGCCTTGTATTGTGTCTATGCTTACTCGATACGTTTACTTCCGGCCTAAGAAGCAAGACATTCGATAGCAGTTATCTATTTTGTATGACCACTTTGTTTCGGGTGTTTATTATTAACACTTTATGATCATTTCAGTGTGTGTATTTCTTTAAACATTATTATTATTAGGAGTTAACAAACCAGGCCGAGAGAGGGATCTTGTTGCATGGTTTATGGGCAACACGTTCTCTACAATACTGCACAGGCTTGACTTTGTGCTATAGAAAGGATAACTTCTATCATTGACCTTAACTGTTATTATCCTGGGTTGTTTCCATGCCTCCCTATACTAGAAGGGTACAATTCCATGGTAGGGCGGAAAGGTGCCAGCCAATCCCTACTGAGCGGTATATATGGCTAAAATGTATGTCCTGACTAGCTACAGCAGGAGACATTGAGATTAACTATTTTAGCACCACAAGTTTTCACAGGAGATACCACAGAGATTAAATAATTATGATAGCAAATCATCGATGTATGACTTTCAGAGTGGCAATATACATAGTTGTAGTGACCCTTGGGGGAAGCCAGATTTCTCCAGACTGTTCTGACCAAATGGTAAAAGTGTGAATTATGCTATGGAGGGAAATCAAGGGCTAAATTCATTCACACTCCAGACGTTGCTTGGGACTGAAGTGTTAGACTGCTCAAAATAATGCATGGAAAATTCAGATTTCTCTGACAATTTGAAAGAAACATCTACATCACACGTACACTTATTAAGATGGTTGGGATCCACAATTGTACTGACTTCAATGTGGGAGATGTGTACAAGTTGGAGGAGCAAATAGATCAACAGTCTGGTGAGAGTGATGCAGCAGGGGGTGACGAGGGGATCTGGTCTATAATCAACGCTCTGAAGAAAGCAAGGCAAGACGAACGTATAATCATAATGCTGTTGGCACCATTTATATTGGAACTCTGCGCTGGCTGCTGAAGATGGGGACGGAGCACTTATGGAAATGCAACAATGCCCTTGAATCAACTTAGCTTTAAAAAAATGCTTTACCATTCTCTTTGCCTCTTGCATACTGTTATCCATGTATGTAACGCCAGTTGTAAAAGGCCAAACTTTTCTTTGCATCTCTCTCTGTCTGGTTTGCAGAACACTCCCAGAGATTTATCGCCTGCAGCTGTGTTTATAATGTCCCCATTTAGATTTTGTTTGCATCTACTGCACACTACTTGAACTTTTCTACCTTTTTTCTTTTCTTGTTCTGCCTTCACTATCTCCTCTTGCATTATGTGATGTGTATTTCAAACTTTCTTCAATGTTTTAACAGAGAACAGAATAGTTACAAAGAAACATCACTGTTTGACATATAACAAAGAGATAAAAACGTGTGTTCACAAAATAGTTGAATGGGATCAGACCACGAGGAAGACCAAGAAGACAGTGGGAGATGACATAAGGCAGACTAAAAAAACACCAAATAGAAATAGAAGGCCAGATATAGATGATGGAGATGGATATCTGCGGCAGTGCACCTCAAGGGTTCAGAATATTAAAAAAGATTTCTGGAAATATTTTGCTGTGCTGTCATGTGACTACTAGAGAATGTTACACTTCATTGTATTGAATCAGTCTTCATCAATATTATGTGGCAATTACATTGCCTTGCTTCTCTCTCAAGACATTCTAGAAAGCCGTTAAGCCCCCCACCACACAACTTGTCTGCTTCATGAACATACACGCCCAAGATGTCCTTTAGATCATGTAGCCATCATCATGCAGGTTAACCCATGCCTGTATTTACTCGATACATACCCAATATTACTGTTCTCTTCAAATTATCATGACCTTTTAAAATAGCTGACACTTAGATCATCTTGACACTAAGAATCCTCATGTAACATTTCTGTTCTTCTTCTTCATACTGTTTACCAGCTATAAAACGTCAGTGAAAAGTTCTGGTTGACCGTCCACTCTTGTCTTTGGTCCTGATCAAGAACGTTGAGTTTTGCATACATATCCGTTGTACAGATCGGGCTTATCTGTATGCAGAGTGTTGGTTTCTTGCCTCTCAGGCAGATGCACTCTTGACTTTGAAGGAAACACCCCTAATAAGTCAACTCCTAGGATGTGCATGTTCAGGGGCCAGTCAAACCATGGCGGAACCTGTTGTCTATGCTTACATATTCAAATATCTCTTCTACTAAACTGTCAACTTGTAAATAAAAAGGAAAACCTGTAGATTTCCACAGTTCGTTCGTTTGTACTTTCCTTAGGCTCTTTGTCTTTTAACCCCTACTGGCGAATGCACATCCCTGATCACAGACATGGATGTCAACAGTGGCCTATAAATCATCTGTTTTTCCTCTGAGGGTTACGGAGCCTCACTGAGTGCTAGTGGGGCCAGGGACGATTAGATACATTGCCCCGTAAACATGTAGTAAATGTAAAATTAAGGGTTTGTTGAAACCAAGTGTTAGGCCGACAAGTATAGATATCACAGCCTAGCTGTAAACCACAACACAACATGCACACCAATACTAACGGCAAATGCAGAAGACCATTCATATATGTCAGGGCTATTCGACTGGAGACCAGTGTGCCAAATCTGGCCCGTGGAGGACTAGCAAGTGACCCAAGGATCACTGCCAGTTGTATTGTAACTTCTGGCCCGCGACAATCATCATTTTCAATAATCAGGTCCCTGGGTAAACTTAGCTGAATATATATATACACACACACATATATATATATATATATATGTAAAGTAAACAGGCCCTCAGAATTAACATATAACACCAAGAAATATGTACACTTTTTATTAGCCATTTTCTCTCTAAAATCTTATCTTTACAAATTCCTAATGTCATTCTATTCCACTTCAAGGTATAATTTAGCACTACAAATTGTGAAGGGATGGGGGGGGGGGGGGTTTAATGATGACTCTTTGTTTAGAGGACTAGTTGGTGATAGTTAAGACAGATGATCAAACCATTTTACTACTGGAGATGTGTCAAGCAGGTGTAGTAAGTGGTCAGTATACATGATCTTGAATCTATTGGTTGTGGTTTTATCTCCAGCTGAACAGTTCACCCCACCCCCAGCTTCATAAGAGGATTGGTGAAGTATTTGGCGTTTTCTGCTAAATGTCTGGAAGGAAAAGGTGACAAGGAAGGGAAATGGTCACGTCCCCTCTCCATGCCATGAATAAAACAAAAAAGTAAAGCGCCCTGATGGCAGCTGTGGCCATGAGTGAGCCGTTATATCCTTACAGAGGTCACCATTGTATTGTATTGTTCCCTGTCTGGGTTCCTGGAGGAGAAAACCCGCTGCTCCTTAACAAGCATGATGTAAAATAGTGACTAATTAAGGGTTTATGAAAGGTGGAGATATCACAACCTAGCTGTAAACCACACAGTATTATCTGTCCTGTTACTGTTAAGGGAGAAAGCAACGAAGTGTTCTGCCATGTAGTTGGAACACTCTGCTGTACAATAATAATCTTGAGGTATAACAGGAGAAAAATATCATTCTAAGATCTCGCAATTGATGACCATTTCACAATAGATACTCACGTCACCTAATATGGAAAATAACAATTACAACTGCTGTGATTTCCAGATACACAGAGAATAGTGGCCACTTCACAAGTCAGATTTCTTTGGCATGCTCAGGCTAAATATGAACGAATCAATCAAGAATTGCCGCACTCGAGACAATCACATACATGCTCCGCTCCCTTCCTTAGCAGTCAATTTAACTTTCCCCTGATTAAAAGCTCGCCTGCTGTGTACCCCTGCGGGCGGAAAATTATCCAAATCCTAACTTCCAGCTGAATCCTTCTCTCAGAATATTAATAGCCAGTTGTACTGTTCACCTGGTGTCTGACAGCCTTTGCCACATCCGCTTTATCATAAAGTAGCTTAATGTCCAGTGAGCCGGTCAATCAGCTTGCTAATTACTATGCACATCCAAATATTCTGGGCTAAAAATCTACAAAATGAACATAACCTAGGTCTTACCCAAAAAAAATGCAAGACCAAATATGAAAAACAAGAACATATAGTACGCTGGCTAGGAGCTCAAAGGAAAAAAAATCAGCCACTGCTTGGGAGCAGTTAACAAAGGCGGTTCTACTGGAATAACAAATGTGAATACAAGAGATTTGTATGGCTAAGCAACTGAAACCGGATGAAGTCAGACAAGAGCCCTCTGCAGGAAGCCAAAGAAGAAGAATAAACCTACATATCACTAGCTTCATCAGCTGCTACATGCTACAAGATTGACTGAGGAGAGGATCTGTTCTCTTATGGACTGACTGGTTTGATGTACAGTGAGGATGATTTGTCAACTGACTGACTGGCTAATTAGAAGACGAACAGTTAAACAAATGTATTTTAGGTCATGTAATTAAAGAATAGTTTACCACAACAAATGCAATCCTGTCACTACTCGCACTGAATCCAGTGCTGAATTTTACTTTGCACGACTCATTTATTTATATTATATAATTACCCAAGATAAGGAAAGCTAGCGACAATGAGCTTACCTACAATACATGTATCCAAGGTATAAATAAACAGTTTTATCTTTTTCACCCAAAAACAACACAGACTCCATGCCACAATGTACAGAATGGTCAAAACACGATGAGAACTGAACGTCTTCAACAATATAAAAACAAGCAACAACACTGCATATTTTTATCTGCCCAAAAAACTTCTGATTCGGTCCCTGCTGGTGAAGAGAACGTAGAGCGAAGACAATCCAAAACCAATAGCTCCTCCACGCAAGCAACGCCGCCAACCCGCTGGAGAAGGAGACAAAAATGAAACAATGCAAATCAAGAAAGACAACAAATATTTACAATACAACCAACAAAAAATTGAGATAAAGTACACTGCAGAAACCCAATTTAGGAAAAGATAGAAGACAAATGTACAAACACAAAGCAACCATGCTTCAAAAAAGAAAAGAAAAAAACATATATGGTGCAAAAGACAGTAAATGTAAGACATTACCATCGATAGAGATAAAAATCTCAGGCAGATCCTTTGCAGCAAACCTTGACATTCAGATGGCAAGTGATGTGAATGGCGATTTTAAATGACCCACACATCTCCAAACCAAACTCAATCTATTTTCCGCTTGACATAAAATTCTCACATAAACATCGATTAAATATGTCTCTGCCTCATACCGGATCAAGAAAAGCCTGTGAGAACTAGCCAGCTCACCACAAAATGCATGTTAAGTGTATGTGTCCCATTCCTAAGCATGATACAACAGGGTACCAGCTTCCAGATAAAACAGGCATGAACATCATAAACACCCTCCCCTCCCCTGCCAATCACAAGTGGTAACCATTAAGAGAAGGGTTAGATTAGTGAGCTATATATCTATACAATGCCACAAAAATAGATATAACCATTTCAGTACTTAGGAACGATGATATCAAGAGGAGAGTCAGCACAGAACCAATACTGAACTTTTTAGGCAGACAAAAAAATCAACTGGTTTGCCCATGTAACAAGATTTGCATCAGACAGAGCACCACAGAGAGCAATGTTTTATAGATACAGCAGTAACAGAGCCAGACAGTGACCATACAGAAAGTGAACCGCAGAAATATCAGAGACACTGAAAAGTACTTTATACGAAGCAGTCCTAAGAGCCTGTTCCAGAGATCTCTTCCTGCCCTAACATCGTGAGGTATTCCAGGAAAAGAGAAAAGAAGAAGAGAAAGGGGTTCCATCCCTCTGTCTACCATGACGTGTTGCAAAAAATAGACCACAAGAATTAATAACAATAACCAAATTTAGGAAGAATTGTAAAGCATTTCACTTTTCAATGTATATCCCTTGTATACTGACCGGTTCTAATAAAAAAGGTGTTTAAGGGCTAGATAATCACCCTCACTGCACCAGGGTTTATCCTAGTTTGATCTCTCTGCCACGAGCACTGCACAAAGTCAAACCTACAGAGATAACTGCTATTGATCTCTATAATAACTGCACTAGCAAACTGAGGAACTTTGAAATCTTCTTCTTCTTCTTCGCGATCACCAGCTGTACACTCTGGCGGAAAGTTCTGGTTGCTCGTCCACTACTGAACTGCAGTCCTGCTCCAGAACCTGAGTGTTGCGTGTGCATCAGTTTTACAGATCTCATTCTCTTGAATACAGACTGTTGGTTCCTTGCCTCTCCGGCAGATGCACTCCGACTTCAAAGGAAGCTCCCCAATAAGTCGACTCTTACGACATGCTTTTGGGGAGGCAGTGGGTCTATTCTTGTTTTCCCCACAATGGGGCCCCGGAACCCACACAGGGAAGACTTTGAAATCTAACTCTTAGAGCATGGACATTTAGCAAAACTTTTCGCAGGGACCAAAATTTTGGAAATTGGGAGTGTTCGCAGGCCAGAGCTCTATCAAAGAAAACCAATAAATGAAATACAACTGGCAAGTGATCCCTGGGCCACTTGCTAAACCAGTTAAATAGCCCTGTCTTAGATGAGAGTGCTAGCAGACAGCTAATATCACCAGAGAGACCATTTAACCCACACGACTCCTGATAAACCGTAAATGAGTGTTCTAAAGAAGCAATTATGTCTGGTAAAAGTCACGACCTCATCTTCTACTTCCCCCTTAAAGGGACAGTTGCGAGTTGTGTTGTGGTTCACAGCTAGGCTGAGATATCTGCACCTGTTGGCCTAACACTTCTGATTTTAAGAAAACTACTAATTCGTCATCTTTTATGACATTCATGTTTGGGGGGGGGGGGGGGGGCAGCAGGTCTATTCCTTCTGCTCTTAACATGAGGCCCTGGAAGCCCCAGAACCCACACATGAAAACAATAACTTGACGATCATGTGAGATGTCAACTGGGTATGTTACAATGATATAACTAAAACCTGGAAACAAACACACTTCAGAACATCAGTCAGCGGTCAGATACAAACTGTGGGAGCAATGACACCCCACCGATACTTTATGAGTTTTGGACTGCGGTATGCTAGCAATGAAACACTTACAACCTGTGAGGTGAACATCACTTGTTAACAGATACCAACCCAGGACCAAAATCAAAATTTTTGAAGCCTGTGTCCTGAGCATGCTCCTCTACGGCAGTGAAATCAGACTGTATGCTCAAGAAAAAAGACTGAACACCTTTCACTGCGCTGTATGAGATACATTCTTTGTATATCATGGCGAGATTTTGCTCCAAACGAATGTGTACTCGAAAGAGCAAGGATGCCAACAATGGTGTAAAAGTTAGCTGTCATCCCGACATAGTCAAACTAACAATGAAGGCTCAGGATAGAAAGAATCAGTCACTACACCCCCACCTATAAAGAAATGATGATGTTTACAGCATTTTAACGACGACAACAGCAGCAACTTTTCTTACCTGAAGATTTATATAACATGCCTGTGGCTGTTCCCGAGACAACTGTGTTCAGCTCGTCATCGACTCCACGGCTCCACGACAACACAACCCCAAAAACACTGTACATCAAGGCTGGGGAGAAAAGGTTCTACCTGTAGTGCCACCATTATGAATTACAAATGGAAGTCAATTTGTGTTTTTGCAAGTCTTGTGTCTTCTTCTTAGCATGTACCAACTGTAAATATTAGTGGAAAGTTATGGTTGTTTGTCCACTCATGGACTTTGGTCTTGATCCAGAACTTGAGTTCTATGTTCACATTCATTCTAAAGAAACTGGTTTATGTGTATGCAGACTGCTGGTTGCTTGCCTCTCAGGCAGATGCACGCGAACTTTGAAGGAAACAGCCCTAATTAGACACCTCCAAAGTACTGCACACTACCACTGACCCAGAGTTAGTATATTCTTCTTCTTCACATACACCAGCTGTAAACTCTGGTAGAAAGTTCTGAGTTCTCGTTCACCTATGGACTTTAGTCTACTTCCAGAAAGTGAGTGTGGTGGTCACATCCGATTCTCAGATTTGTATGCAAACTGTTGGTTCCTTGCCTCTCAGGCACCGACTTCCGATGCCCCCATTAGTGTACTCCTACAATTCCCTTGTTATGGAGGCAGAGGGACTATTCTTGTTTTCTCCCACAATGAGGAAGCTAGTATCTCACTGCTGACGCTCTGAAAGTTTATATGTTTCCAGCTGGTTGAGTGCCAAGTGTGATACTGTTAGCTGTGCATTTCTCGTGGACTTTTTCTTCCTGCTGTGCCCATGACATGTAGTTGACTCCACTAAAAATGGTCTGCGGCTGATTACGTTAAGAACTGTGTTCTTTTGCGGATGCTATGCATGTTTTTGTGATTTACTGTTTGCACCAACAGCAAGCTGCATTAGTGTTTCACATCTGACAACCGCCTTGTGCAATTTTACAGGAATGACAAGTTTTCAAATGGGACGATGGAGGACATTTTGTGTGATCTCTACAGGCACAGGAATGGAGCAGTTATGGGCAGCCCACCTGCCATGATGGAACTTCGATTGATTCAATCCCTTACTACTATGAAGAAAACTCAAACATCTATTGATGAATCCAAAGTGGGAAGCTGACTGGGCTCACGATGCTGTACCCACATTTTTAGACTAACCAGCAGTGATCACCATCATACCAGCTGTATTACTCCATGAAATGTTTCTGACATCAGTTTTATGCTATATCAGCCTGGCTGCCTAGATGATGAAGCAATCATTGCTTCCTGTGGGGGGGGGGGGGGGGGGGGGGGGGTACCCACATTTGACAGTGAGAAAGAATAGACCCACTGCAATAAACCACACGAAGACATTCTTGCTTTGAAGGGGATTTTTTCCCCCTGTTTATCTGAGGACGTAAATGTTTTGTGCACATTTACAACATGGCTGTAATATCTGTCCATAGCAGACACATAATGCTGATCAGCATCAGCCCTCAAGAAAAGGCAGGTATAGAACACAAGCATTCGCCGTCATCTAAGGAGGCTCCACAAATGAAAAGCTAATACATTGTCATGTGGAGTCGTAACCGTGTTCTCATGTCCGTCCATGACATTTTAGCAGGCAGACCAGGGATTTTGAAAGAAAATGTCCCACTATGAATCCCACTTAGATTGCATTCACAGCCAAGTAATAATTACCCAAACTAAACAGAAATGTTACATAAATATAGTGTACAATAAACAAGTTGCGCAAGGTAGTGACACTACCCCGTGACATTACTGGTTGTGACAGTCCCTTTAATGCCAAAATATCGGCCTGCATGACTTTTGACCTGTTCTTGTTAAGCGTAATTAAATTCTCTTGGTTCTGTGTCTGTGCAGTGTTTAACATGCCAAGATATAAATAGTAACTTTAGAAAATGTATAAACATACCTACAACTCCTAGAGTCTGTGCCGTAGATGCCCCACCTTTTGTGATAAAATTTAGCAACCTGAAAGAAGAGGAACACATCTTTTACGGTAATAATTAATTTAAAAGAAGGATAATAGGACAATATACATATATTTAATTTTTAAAGAGTCAAATCAAATTCTTGAGCATTATATAAGTTATAAAAAACTACAATACATCTTTCCCAGTAAAGACGGGTGTAAGACAGGGATGTGTTATGTCATCTCTCCTCTTCAACCTTGTGATTGATTGGATACTAAAGAACACAGTAGACAGGACATTAAGAGGCATACGATGGACTCCATTCACCATGCTTGAGGACCTTGATTTTGCAGATGATATAGCACTCCTATCACATAAACATGAACATATACAAGAGAAATGTAACAGACTAAACTGCACAGCAGAAATGGTGGGACTGAAAATCAATACAAAGAAAACTAAGATCATGACAAACAGTCCAAACCAACAACCAGTGACCATAAGTAACCAATCACTTGAAAATGTAGAACATTTCACGTATCTTGGCAGTGTGGTGTCCCTACTGGGAGGGACAGAGGAAGACATACAGTCACGTCTGAACAAAGCCACTCCCCAATCTCCATGTCACTAGTTGATGACACAAACACAACAGTGCCACTCCCCAATCTCCATGTCACTAGTTGATGATACAAACACAACAGTGCCACTCCCCAATCTCTATGTCACTAGTTGATGACACAAACACAACAGTGCCACTCCCCAACCTCCATGTCACTAGTTGATGATACAAACACAACAGTGCCACTCCCCAATGCCCAAGTCACTAGTTGACACAAACACAACAGTGCCACTCCCCAATGTCCATGTCACTAGTTGATGACACAAACACAACAGTGCCGGTCCCCAATCTCCATGTCACAAGTTGATGATACAAACACAACAGTGCCGCTCCCCAATCTCCATGTCACAAGTTGATGATACAAACACAACAGTGCCACTCCCCAATCTCCATGTCACAAGTTGATGATACAAACACAACAGTGCCGCTCCCCAATCTCCATGTCACTAGTTGATGATACAAACACAACAGTGCCACTCCCCAAGTCACTAGTTGATGACACAAACACAACAGGTGTCCTTGCCAGTAGTTGAGGACACACATACATACACACCACAGCCCCACCCCAAAAACTAAACTTACTGCGTCCTCCTGTTAGCTCCAACAAGCTGCCTTGCCTGGACATCCTTCAGCCCTGAATAGAATCCATTTAAACCCCCAACAGCTGCTCCTACATAGGTTCAAACAAGAAAATATGAAATCACCTCTATTGACTAACATCGATACAAAAACAATGGCGTCACGGTTAGGTAGTGGAGTAAGGAGTCGCTGTCAAATGGATAAGAACTTTAGCTCTCATGCGGGAGACCCAGGTACAAATCCTCAGTCAAGTTAGGTGGGTTTTTTTTTTCCCTGTATATATGAGGATGTGAATGTTGTGCACATTTACAACATGGCTGTAATATTTGTCCATAGCAGACATATAATGCTGATCGGCCCTCAAGAGAAGGCAGGTGCAGAATACAAGCATTCACCTGCACCCAAGAAAACTATAAAAGCAAAGCTAATACATCGTCATGTGGAGCAGTCGTAACCGTGTAACCTCATGTCCGTCCATGACCTTTAGAACCCAGCAGGAGACAGCCTGCAGACCAGGGATTTTGAAAGAAAATGCCCCCCACTATGGATCCCACTTAGGTTGCATTCACAGCAAAGCAAAAGTATCCTAAACCACTCAGTGGGTGGCGACTACACTGGCCATTAATTCTTAGCTGGAAGTCAAGCAGCACAAGTAATTTAATTGTCTCCTTGAGAGGTCTCCAAGCACGGGTGCAGAATGTCTACTACCACCATCATGGTGATCAGCCACGACTCAGCGGCAATGTGTGTAAAATATGTGGTTATCACATCACCAGGCATCATCACAATGAAAACTGTAGGCAAGAGGAAATTACCTCACCTCAATGGCACTTGGGAAAAGGCATTTTTAGTAAACATCCTGAGCAGCCATTTATGGCAACAATCCCATAGAAAGGCCAAACATTATTAGTTGTATTTTATGCTATTCTTTGTATGCCACGCCAATCCAGTGTGAATGTGAGACAGCAAAAAGGTAGTGGAAATTCCATCTGTCTAGTTTCATATGATACTTTTGTGCATGTTTAGAAACCTTTGAGTTGGTCTGCTCTATGTATATCTATGGACCTGTCAGGAAACCTTTGAGTTGGTCTGCTCACATGTATATCTATAGACCAGTCAGGAAACCTTTTAGTGTCTATGACTAAATTATATCTAAACATTTATACAAGAGAAAGTGAATTAAATAAACTATGACAGAGGTTCATGACTTCTGTCATTCCGACTCACCAACAAAGACAGAACCTCCTATCTGAGAAAATGATAATTCAAGACGGCCTCGTGTCCTGGCTGCACCTTCTGGGAAGATGAACTGTGAGTCATTCTGACAGGAAAAGAAGAAGTAATAAATATTGAGTAATTCTAGAGAAAAGTATAAAGTAATCTATATTAAGGCATCCTTCTTCTTTTACTTTCCAATGGAGCACATGTCCTCAGCCAACCCAGTTGTCCCACCCTATGCTATCACATGCAGCTCATCCTATGACATCCCCATTCACTCTCCAGTTCCCATCTCCATGTAGTTTTTGGTCACCCTTCCATCCTCTGACATCAGAGTTTTTCAACATGTGTACTATCGAACACCAGCTTCTTATGCTTACCTATTACGTCCTGAAATCTGTTTAGAAATTCACATTGTCAGAGAAGAGTAAAGTTAAATCCTCAACTCTCTGAGTCCCAGAGGGTTTAGCATCACAGGCCCAAGGGGTAGTCAAGAGACGTAAAATCGGCGCATTATGCGTTCACTGGGCTTCTACGCAGTAACCTATGAACGTATGATACGTTCCTTGGGACTCAAAAGAGTTAAAACCCATTGCAGATACTACTACTGGACAGGGAAGTATTCTTCTTAGATTTCACCAGCTGTTAACTCCGGTGGAAAGCTGTGGTTGTTTGTCCACTTATGGACTTCAGTTTTTCAGAACTCTTCAGTGGCAGATGCTCTCCGATTTCAAAGGAAAAATCCATAATTAGTCATTTGTTATGACATGCTTAAAAGGAAGGAGGAGTGGGTTTACCCCCCCCCCCCCCCCCCCCCACATTCTGGGAAATGAACTAATTTTTGTCACGACTCTGCTGCATCAGGCTGACATTGTTATATGCCAGTTGTCACTCATTGGGCGATGTGCTGGTCCACATTATGCCCGCTGCATTTATTTCCAAGGACATTATATGATACCAATTTTAGGATAAGTAAACTTGCAAGCCATGATCAACTTTTAAGAAAACAAAATCTGCCGTGATGCAGACTAGCGAGCGAGCATCTTATCGCTAATCTATTGAAGAGTCAAGTATTACACCTCTGTATATTCCAGGTCAACAGATATGTGGCGGGGTGGTCAACAGAATGCGTGACTGTCTATCCTTCATGTACACCAAACTATTGTGACTAATTATTTTTCATGTGTGTCAACTTGAGTGAGTCTCTATTAGTCATGTGTACCAATCTAGCATGGTTATCCATTTTCATGTATACCATTCTTGGCTGACTGTCTATTCTTGAAGTGTACCTTCTTATTCTGCTACATTTGCCCATTTACAGGGTGGCCGGCACCCCGTGCTGTGATTTTCAGTAAGGGTGTGATATCTGAAGTTTTCAGCCCAACGCGATTTCAGCAAACCCTTAATTAAGTGTCTTTTATGACACAATTGTTAGTAAGTCAACCAATGGTGTTCCAGAACCGACCCAAACCCGGACTTATAACAGTAACATGTGAAGGGCCCTTTTCCAACCCTCCAGGCATATTGGGCTAGAGCTATATTTTATAGACTAATTAGCAGCATGCCGGACACCATTACTTCACATGACTGCACCTGGTACCCACACAAGGCTGGGTCGACCTGGGAGCCTAGGTGGTTAGTTTCTTATGGTTTTCAGACAAAGTCATGACAAAAGTTCCATTTCCCAGTCTGGGTTCCAGGCCCATGGAGTGGGTGTTAGACCCCTGCTCTCTTATAAGCATGTCCTAACAGATGACTAATCATGGATTTTTCCTTTAAGTCGGAGATCATCTGCCACTGAAGAGTTCTGTAAAACCAAATGTTCCCCTTTCCAGAGATCACTCTCTTGCCTAACTGCAGCGCCTTCTGGAGTACTTACTGGTCCAAAGTAAGCCGGGTCAAAGTTCAAGTATGGTGACATGATAGCACCAGCAGCTCCAGTGGTTACTGGGGAGAAAGAAAAGGTTACAGATTAAATATATGGCTAAAAGGTGTTGTTACTGTAATACATCATCTAAGTATGAGACCACTAGTTGGTTGCTTGTTTTTCGGGGAACCTGAATGTAACTGCTAGCAATTTCACACATTTCTCTATAATATTACAGGTTCAATAGCAATGCTGCACATTAGCTCAGTGGCTAAATACATGCCTGTCAGCCTGAAGGTCTTAGTTCAAATCTGCACAAATATGATAGTAGCCCATTTTAATAATTGACTAGGGCTCACTGTGTGAGACTGACCATATTACTAGCTGTGGGCAGATTGATCTCTAAAATAAGTCTCATATGCTAACTGCGCCCCATACTAAAAAATAAAAAGTATAAAATTGGGGTTTCTTTTTCACCCACCTACATATATATAGTATAGCTCACAGGCAGACCAAGCCTAAAATAAAACCAGCCATATATTGCACCGATCTCTGAGCTGCAGGTAAACTAGAGAAGCTAGGGGGTTGTTCTTATCGGACCCTAATCATGAAACCTGACCTGGTACTTCTCCTTTCTTCTTAGCGTTTACTAGCTGTAAACTCCAGTAAACAGTTCTTTTATTTGTCCATTTTTGGAATTTGGTCGGTCCAGAACTTGACTTTTTGCATGCAAGTCTGTTTTACAGATCTGGCTTATTTGTATGCAGAATGTTGGTTCTTCACTCCTCAGGCAGATGCACTTTGACTTCAAAGGAAACCCCTAATCAGTCACTGTGTGCTTGTTAGAAAGCAGTGGGTCTATACTTTGTTTCCCCAGAATCCACAAGGAGTGACATGCTACTGACTAGAATTTGTTAATGTTTGAACTGAATGAATGCCAACAGATTACAAATATGAACTGAATGATTGCGTGATGACAGCACTCATGCCACCTACTTAGACTTTTTATTTAGTCCTGTACTGCCTTTCAGTGTCAGGTTTTGAAGAGGTAGCAGGTGACAGCCTTGGTAAGTGAATGTGCTAAGCAGATGCTGGTATTCATGGCCTCAGATATTCCATCTATTAGCCTGTGTCTGCTTGGTACACCTCTGGATCTGCTACTGTAGGTCTCAAAGTGACTGGGCTCTCTGCGACGTACCATCTGGTGGTAGTCTTGAAGACACATGTCCAAACAACAAAACATTTGATCTCTTGTCTCTTGATGTTCAATAGTACTGGTTTTGTTCTTAACTTCTTTTATGATACTGTCATATCTTATTTTGTCTCTTTTAACCGTTTGGACATGACGCTGCTAAAATATCAGCCCAAAACAAAATAGCCAAAAAGACAAATGGGCCGATCGATCAGACCTATTTAATACAAAATTTGAGATTGGCTGGCACGTTTTCGTACCAGCCAGTCAGATTGCTTCTCACATTTCATACACATGTGTTCTGTTCAATGACGGCTTTTGAGAAAGTTTGATGTGTTCTATGAATTTACAGCGATTTTTGATGATTTTCCCAGTGCCGAACAACAGCGAAAAGGACTGTTGCATCATAACTGAAACATAGGAGGAGACAGGAAAACTCAAAACACAGGGGTTAGAACTTTTTCAGGCTTTATTCTATTAAAAAATCTACCCAAATTTTTCAGGTGTCATGTTTGTTCCAATTTTTTTTAAATGTTTGCATAAATTATGCAAATCAGAATAGTAATTTGAATAAATGTTGAGATTGTAGTTTGATTCATAAATATTCTGTTAGCCCATTTTATTTCCTACACGAATATTCAATATATATAGTATAGTTTTGTATATGTTGATTAAACTCTTTATTTATTTTTTTATGTGTGTGTAAACTAAGAAAAACCCCACCTGAAGGATCCTTCTGTTGTTTGGCACTGAAACTCCAAAAAGACTCCATCTTTGAACAACTGAACTAGCTGCATTTAGGTTAGGATTGGGCATTGGCCTTATAGTAGACTGAGACACTACCTAAACTATCCACTAAAAATCCTAAATATACAACGAATGCACTTCGCCTTGATCATACGTTTAAAAATATAACAATTGGACACGACAAAAAGTAAATAAACAAAGAAATGAAAATGACCAAAATATTTTCTAAAAATAAATTTATTAATTTCATTTTTAATTAAACAAAATAAATTCCATTTTCAATTCAATGATACCTGGAACATTCATAGATGGGTCCGAAGACGAATATGGATTATAAGCCGGTGGAACTTTATCCTCCATTCTGTTTGCAAGAAACGACTCTAGTTAGAGGTAAAGTTAGAGACGTGTTGTATTTTCACCGAGAAGAATCGACAACTGTCCCTGTAGCTGATGTAAAAGTCGCGACCAAGGACGAGGCGGATGTTGGTCCCGCATGGACGTCTGCTGTGCCAGGTACCCGCTAGTGTTACATGTACTAGTAATTTTAACAAATAATATCATGTTTAACACATCCAAGTTAAAATTTAGGTTTATATAGTTGTTTTTTTTATTTCAAAAATGTATTTATACTGTTACCAGTTATGTTTAGTTGTGCAATATCGCATAGCTTATTTATTAATTATATAAGACTGTATTCGTAGGACAATAGATTTTCGCATTCAATATATTTTTTATGTTTGTTCAAACATTTATAGTAATTACAATGTGTAGTATGTCTCTGTGGATATTTAAAGTGATATCTGATACCATTATTCTGCTTTAAGTTATATTGTTAATACATTAATAACATCTCATATGCAAATCCATGTTCTTGTTATGAACTGTTTAATTCTTCCCTGTAGTTCTCTAGAACCATCTACTCCCAGCATGTTTCCTGTTGACATATGTTTATTGCAGCGGATCATATTTTCATTAGGGAAGTCTTTTGTAGTTAATATTTCTTGCAGTCGATTATATAATGTTCAACATCATTATGTACCTGAAAACATGTGTTAGTGTTGGAAACTGACGTCGCTATTATACGCTATACGGGTAATTTCAAAAGCAAAAACATAGACTCGGGATTTCCACGGAACAAAACAAACAAGACCGTGGCTAGATTTCTCCAACTGCCAGCGCTGTGGATGAACATCTCAGGTGGGAACCTGCTGGAGTCTATATAGAGGATCCTGCCATGACATCACAACAACAGTCCTCCCACGAGCAGAATTCAACTAAACAGAGGATCAACATGGCTCATGGATTTATGAAATCTGTCATTCGTAATCAGATTGACAGGTATTTTTAATTTGTTTCAGTTCTATCTCAACTATTCTTATCAGCTGCAAGTGAAAGTGAAACCTGATGTGATCTGCTATGTTGCAGGAGGTCGTCGCAAACCAACACTTACAAAGAAGGTTTGAATCAAAAGCCGACTGTTGAGTTGGCAGTGGTAAACTACTGAACGTAACAATGCTTAATGAAAACATGGTAAACAGCCACACAAAATCAAAATGCTAGGATTGGTGGTACTAAATACTGCACTCTCCTGTAAAGGACACAGAACTATTGAATTTAACATTTTTCGATTTTGCTTTGTTTTACAAAGCAATGCTACGTTCAGTAGTTTGCCCTTTTGTCAGGGAAAGGAGGTGGGAGAGAACCACTGCCCCACTAAAAAAACATGAAGAAAGTGTCGATTAATTAAATGTTTCTTCAGAGTCGCTGTGGTGCGCCTACCTGAGAGGCAAGGAACCAGCAGTCTGCGTACAAATAAGCCACATCTATAAATCTGTCAAATGAATGTGCACGCAAAAGTCAATTTTTGGAACAAGACGTCCAGAAGTGGATGAAAAACCGGAACTTCCCGCACGAGTTATAGGTAATGAATATAAAGATACAGATAAATTATTGTTTTTTGTGTTTGTTCTAGAGATAACTATGATAAAGAAGTCAAAGCCAGGCAACAACAAGGCAGGTCACATTACAGGCCAAATGCAAACAGACCAAGAAAGCCAGAGATTCAAACATACATCCCACCACAACGCACAAAAAAAGGTTTTTAAGTGTATATATTTATTCTAAAACTCAAATTTCTTCTTCTTCCTCCTCCTCCTCATTTTTTCCTCTGCATCTGATACTGCTTCTTCCTTATCCTTTTCTTCCTGTTCCTCTTCCTCATGGCTAATGTGGAGAAGACAGAAGACTAATGTGGAGAAGACAGATGACTAATGTGGAGAAGACAGATGACTAATGTGGAGAAGACAGATGACTAATGTGGAGAAGACAGTGGTGATAACATCACTGCATCATTGTCTCTCATCTGATATTTTTAATCAGAATGAGGTGACTGCAGTAAATCTTTCTTCTTCTTCCTCTTTTACTGCTTCGTGTGTTGAGGGAAATATGAGGTTCTGCTTCTTGCTCTTCTGGTCATCTGGACTATATATCTTGCTGTTGCAGAGTTTCTCTGTTGTAATCTTTCCATTTTGTTCTTTCTGCCTCTCATGTTTTACATCCTCCTCATTTGGTCTTTGCCTTGTGTGGCATGTCATCACAAGGCATTCTAAGTGGGCAGATTTTTTGATTTGCTATATTCATATGTAATTTACAATTGGTTCTGTGCCGGTTTTTTCTCTTATGACCTGACCTGGTCACTCCTGCAGCCCATTTCATTTCAGGGGTTATTAACTTTCTTCTCTGGTTTGTTGTGAGTGACTGTCCGGCAGTCTATAGAGATCTGAAACATAGACAAAATATACATTATATATCAGCTTGACAAGATCCTTTACCATAGACAAACGCAGGATGTTCCAGGAATTAGCTTCTGTCAGTGAACAATGATGAGAAACAAAACATGAGCTGACTCTGAGATAACTACATTACTAAATGTGAAATTTATTAATGTCCTCAAACAAAAATTCAGAATGATTCAGTTAAGTGTCACATGTGATAAATTATTTTGCTGTTTATTGTAATTTTCTTTGTTTCCTTAATATTTGAATAATGTAGTGTAGTCATTTCACAGTCTGTTCATCTTATTATGTTGTGTTTTAAAAGTAAGGGACCCTTTTCCACATGTATATTAGGCATATATGGTAAGACCTATATTTTATAGACCAATCAGCGCTCGCTGGGTGACAGGGTTAACATTACGTCGGCTGCCTTTACTTCCCAAGTCAGTACCTTGTACCCTTTTAAGGCTTAGTCATCTTGGGAGCCAAGGTCATTTTTTTTAAGGAATAAAAGTTTGTCTCTATCAGGACCTGAATCCACGACCTTCTGATCTTCAGGCGAGCGTCTAGCTGCTACACCAGGGCGGCTCCCAGTGTTGTGTTTCAGGGTCACCTGAAACCATACGAGGATAGAAAAAAATTAAAAACATGACGTGCTATTATGGTTAATTTTTTTTTTTCAACTCAAACAGATATAGGTCAGTATTTATTCACTCTTGAGTACGAGCACAAAAATGGTGAACTTTACAGTCTACACATATCAAAGGTAAGTTTATAAAGTTACTCTTCACAAATTTTAGTTTTATTGTTTATCTGTTCTTATTGTGCATCTGCCTGTAACGTCTGGCCAGTGCTGCCCACACAGTCGCTGGACTAAAAACTTTTCCTCCCCACAGTGTTTAACGGTAGAAATGTAAGTTAATGATGATGATAATCATGCTATGTTTTTCAGTTTTGCAGTGCTTTCCTGGCAAAGTGTCAGTTATTTCACACTAGAAAAAAACAAATCCTAACAAAGACCAGTATTTTTTTAAATCTAGTTTCACCTTCACTCAGTAAAAAGCACAATGCAAAGGTCAAAACTTTCAATGAACTAAAAATATAATAAATTTGCAGCAAAACTGCATAAGTTGTCAGATCAGAAGAGCACTTCTTTTAAGCCTGCTGTTTAAATTACCTTGATAATAATAGAACAGTTTTACAACAGAAAATGTGTGGCATCGTGCCCTAGAGAAAAAGTTTCCTCATTGTTCTCTTTACTTCTCCAGTTTTACCTTTCTCTTTTTGTTTTTATTTACTCACATCTCTCTCTCCCTCCTCCCCTCTCTCATTTTCACTCAAATTGTATTCTTTACTCTCACAGCTTGTGCCCTCTTCACCATTTCTCATTTTCAGTTCTCTTTACACTCATTCTTTCTCGCCTGGAGTCTAACCCCTTACACATATACATGCATGGATTTTGGTTTATACAACGGATCATCAACATTCACGGCACAAGGGTGGTAACCTATAAGGGCTCTATTCTACTTCTCACTCAAGCCTGAGTCCAAAGAATCTTAGCGCAGTGCACGGACTCCGTAGCACCAGCGATTATCCCACAAAATGATATCAAACCAGTTGAAAAGTAGGGCCGGACAGTTTCACAATATAACGGACAAAAAAATGACAGGTAAATGTTGCTGTTAGAATACCTTCATCAGCCCATTACTGAAATCAACACTAACACAAGGACAAACAAAAATACACAAAATACTTAATTGACGAATTCCTGATAAACATCATGATGTGGTCCAGCCAGTGACATCAATCTTTCTCTCAGTCACATAGCACTCTCTCTCTCTCTCTCTCTCTCTCTCTATATATATATATATATATATATATATATATATATATATATATATATATATATATATATATATATATATATATATATATATATATATATATATATATATATATATATATATATATATATATATATATAGCTTCCCCCAACCTGCCTTCACTCACCTGAACTCATCTGCTCCCCAGATTGACACAGCAGACGAGGTAGCTAGGAGAATTGGGGATAGATTTGAACTCCCAGACACATTTACTGATGCTCTGGCTCAGCGAATACAAGAAGAGATGGATAAACGAGCTGGATGATGATCCAGGCATGTCTGGATGTGTTATCCTTGATGTTATGACTTGTAATACCGTTGCAGTATTAGTTGTTATTGACTTACAAGTCACAGTGTGACACTGCTCAAGCTGAGCAACTACAAAGGGCAGCTGAGACGCCTCTAAACACACAAGACTGTGTTTCCAGGGTCCGTCAGCCATAGGAGTGGCTAGCAATGACTGTTATTATAACTGTTAGCACCCCTGTGGCTTCCAGGCTGCCATCTTGGGGGGATGGAAAAAAAAAACACGGACACAAAGTTTTTCATTAGAAGTGACAGATTAGGAGTTTGCTGAAATCAGATGTATTAAGCCGAAAGGTGCAGATATCACAGACTAGTTGTAAACTACAACACAACATGCCAGCCGCCCCTGTACATATGAAATAAAAGAAAATAACTGATCATAAGAAGCTTGAGAAAGTTATAGTCCTTCCAATCCCCCCCCCCCCCTTTTTTTTTTTTTCTCTGGTTTTGAGCTAGTAGGTCACATGCCCGGAGGTTCCGTGTGCACCTGACATACAGTGAAATTCTCTCACATCAGATTTGAAGAATAGAGATCATAATTTACAACTTCCTTGGCAAATTACACAGATTGTAAAAGATACCCACAGTATTATGTTTGTTGTACGTTAAGTCTTGTGGAAAACAAGGTAAAACAGCTGCAGTATTTTCCTTAGCAAAAGTTTATGGGATATTCACAGGGAAATAAGGCTAGATGATGGATGGAGTTGCAAAACACATCATGTATGTCTTGAGCTTGAATAATATATTATTACGATTATTATTCAGTGGCTAACTGCGCTTAGTGATAACTGGCAAGAGAAATGGGAAGATAAACAGATAACTGTATGGCTTGGACACTACAGGACAAGAGCAATGACATAATCTGTGTATCTGATGATGGCATGGGACGGTAAACCATAGCTGTCTACACCCATCTACAGGACACATGATGATGATGAACTCTGCTTTGCCTGACAGCCCGGTCTTCGTATCATGTATTCAGAACTTAAGATCACAGATTTTCTAAATCTGGCCTGAACTCCCAGGACAACCTAATCTAAAAATGGTACCATGAAATGTTGCAGAAAGGAAAGGTTGCCAGCATATTGGTCATTCAGAAGACCAAGATCTTCCAGAAAGCTCTTTCAGGAGCTCTGATGTGTAAAAATCTACATTTATGTTGCTGATGATCTGCTTTATTTTGCCAGTCCCATACTTGATTCACCTGTCCAGCAGATGTATTTCAAAAGCTATCATCAAGAGTTATGTCTTCATAAATAAACAAGCAGATCGGTTGATTATGTTTCCATAAATGTTGAGTTGATTATGTTTCACTGGACGGTGCATTGATTATGTTTCACTGTACGGTGAATTGATTAATGGATTGATTCTGCTCCACTGGGTGGTGAACTGATCCTTGTCAAGGCAGGTGGGGTGAAGGCCATTTGGGAGCACAAAGACAATGCAGAGGATGTCTGGAAAGAATGCTGCACTAGAAGTGACCACATGATCGGGCACAAACATGACTCTCAGAGGAAAAACAAGAGGAACGTAAGTTCACACTGCAGCTGCTTCTGTTAATACCTTTCCTTGTGTGTAATCCACTTTGAAACAAAGAAACCGTAATTATTTTTTTAAACTATAATTTAGAGTGCCATATTTTGTTCACGCTTTCAAAAGCTGCTATTGCCTTGCCATTTTTGGTCATAATTTCTTTGTGTTTCCTTGGCAATCAACATTGCTGTCAAAAGAATTAAACTGATGTGGCACTTTAGTTTATTTTTTTGCCAACATGACATTTGCTTGATCGGTTATTGATAGGCTCAGGCTGATGTTTCCTATCCTGGTTTTATGTACCTCATTACCAGATGTATGGTGGTGTGGTTTCCACCTTCCTCTTATTTGCATCTTTAGTTGAAAAGAAATGACAACAGATGAAAGAATAAAACAGTCAGACGTTATTATTTCTTCAGATGAGACGAAGAACTAGTCACCTTTACAATACCACAAAAGACAAAATGAACCGGCAGGTCGAGGCATGCTCATTACACAGACAATAGATTGAGTCATTGCAAAACCACCCTGTGTGTGCAGTTACCTTTATGTTTGTCCCAATGCAGGCAGGTGTTGTTGGCAATGAAAAAGCTGAGAGACTGGCAGGTTCTGCATTAATTGCAGATGACTTGCCCGTGAATCACGCGGACATTGTCAGTGGCCTTAGAGAGAAAGGATGTTGCGAGGATTTTGGCAGCATCATGTCCACATCACTGCTAAGAATATGAGAATTATTTTTATAGATCGACACAGCAACCATGAGAAGTACACTGGACGCACTTGTAGCCTTGTAAGCCAGCACAGGACGTGCATTAATAACCACATAGGTCTAATGAATTTGTTGAAGGGGGAATCTGAGCACCTATGGGCGTGTCTGGAGAGCTGTGAAGATAATCCAACTCATGACAAAATGAATGTTGCGGCTTGAAAACCTTCATCAGCAACCGACACATACAAGCAATGATACAGTTAAAAATAAGAATACATAAAGTCACTTATCTTCGCTGTGAGGCCTGTTGCAAAATCTCCTTCCACACAGAAGAGGCTGTGTGCCACCTCTCATCACAGGAGTCAGATACTGGACAGGAAGTAACCAGAGAGGAGGTAATAGGCAGGATAAAAGAGTATGTCAAGGGGTGTAACTTTAAACAAAAATTATGGTTAGATAAACTGTGTCGAACATTAAGGCCTTTAGTAGAAAGGGAGAGAACCCTGGAGACAGATAAGATAATTCTCCAGAGGCTTGCTGACTCTTTCATTGGTGTTGTTAGATTTAGTGATCAAGACCAAAGCATCTTGGTGACTTTGTGAATTAAACTGGATAGGCGCTGGTTTAAGAGCACTGTTATGCACATCAGAAAAGTGTTGCCTGAACCTGTTCACTAGACGTTGCTATTTTATGTATCCGCACTTTAAAAATCTAATTTCTGTGATGTACATAATTATAAGGGAAAACATTTTTCCTTTTGACATTGATTGTTTGTTTGCATGACATGTTAGGTGTGGATGTTCAACAATTTTGTTAACCTCTTAGCGTTACTTTAAATTCTGCTGATGTGTAGTCTAGTTATTGAATATTCAATGGCACAGTTTATCAATTTTGTTTAGTTTCTTTCCCATGGAGGGTTCCAGGGCCCGATTGTGAGGAAAACAAGAATAGACCCACTGGACTCCCCCCCCCCCCCCCCCCCCCCCCCAACCCCCCCCCCCCCCCCACCCCCCCCCCCCCCCCCCCCCCCTTCCAATGAGCATGTCATAAGAATTGACTAATTGGGAGCTTCCATCGAAGTCAGAGTACATCTGAGAGGCGAGAAACCAATAATCTGCATCTAAATAAGTCAGATCTGTAAAATGAATGTGTCATAACACTTGGGTTCTGGAACAAGACTAATGTCCAGAGGCGGATGTACAACCAGAACTTTCCGTCAGAGTTTACAGCCAGTGAGTGCGAATAAGTTCATTACTTGAGTATCTGTTTGTTCCTAATGTTGCAATAAACTTTACCAATAAATGCCTACTTGTTTTTAGTGGTATTACATTATTCCAGTGATATTACAGTAAAATCTTCTTGGTGTGAATTCAGAGGTACTGAAAATTGTGTTCTGTGTTTTAGAAAATGTGTACATAGAGCTGTACCAATAAATGTCTACTTGTTTCTGGTGATATATAGAGCTGTACCAATAATTATTTTCTTGTTTCAAGAGAGGCAAAAATATTACTTAGAGTATGGACAGTTTTTAATAGGTGAATATTATACCACTTTCTCTTGTTGAGTTTTAACCAAAACTTTCTCTAGAGCAGCATGTCTCAAACATTTTCCCCCGTTACCTTTGTCAGACACAGAAAATGGCGTGGCACACCAACCCTTAAAGCGGTCTGATTAGTTAGGAAAAGAAGGGAAAACGGTGCACATTTAATGTTCAGTTGTCTTTAATGCTATGAATGAAACTGTTTGGTTGAATTTGTCATCATTTTTGTTGTTTGTGGGAAGTTTAGTTAACTGTACCCTCAAAACTCTTGAAGGTTGCTCCTGTATCTGTTTTTTAATGAACGCATACGTTGAGACTACACTGCAGCCTTGCCAATACCATTGTTTTCTGAATACACCTGCACCCATAATTCTTCTTGGCTTTCTTCACGGTATTTTTGTTTTAAACTGCTGTCTTCGCTGATCTCAAGAGGATTTGGGAAAATTCTTGATTATTGCCGCTGCTCTAGAGCACTCGGCATGTGTCTAACAAGTTTAACTCTTTTATTGCCAAACAGTTCATTATACATTTCTTGGTCATTCCAATGATAATGCTAGAGTTGGCACTGACACAGCCTCATGGGACGGAATTATTGGCAAATACGGAGTAGGCAACAGTAATGGACTCTTTCTCCTTCAAACATGTGCCGAACACGAACTCCTAATGACAAACACGATATTCCGTCTCCCGACTCGAAACAGGACATCCTGGATGCATCCCCGCTCAAAACAATGGTACCTTATCGACTGTGTCATAGTCAGAAGGAATGATGGACAAGATGTTCGGGTGACCAAATCTATGTGTGGGGCTGAATGCTGGACTGACCATCGTCTCATTGTGTCCAAAATGAACATCCGTATTGATCTGCCAAGGCGCCCCCAGGGAGTGAAAATGCCTAAAAAGATAAATGTCAGCCGTCATAAAATCAATAAAGTAAAACAGTCCTTTGTGGATACTTTGGAGGATCGTCTCCAATCCAACCCTTCACTAGGTGGGAACCTGGAAACTGATTGGACTACTCTGAAAGACACTATCTACACAACTGCTGAGGAAATCCTGGGCCAGTCCACAAGACCTCACACAGACTGGTTTGATCAGAATGAAGACGACATTGAAAAACTGCTGGTAGAGAAACGTCTCCATAAGATTTATCTTGGTGACCACAAGTCATCGTCAAAGAGAGATGCTTTCAACAACATACGAAGGGACATACAACGGAAGCTTCGCCAAATGCGGGATTCTTGGCTAAGCAGCAAAGCTGACAAGATCCAGAACTTTGCCGATAGACATGATATGAAAAACTTGTATGACTCTCTAAAGGCAGTCTACGGCCCAGTCCCATCAAACTGTGCTCCTTTTTTTTTTTTTTTTTTGTGCGGATGGCAAAACTATTATCGAAGACAACGGTCGAACACTTTAACTTCGTACTAAACCAGACATCATCCATAAACAATGAAGCCATCAACCGCCTGCTCCCATATTCCTATCAACGATTCATTGGCAGATCAACCTACAAAAGAGGAAACCATAAAGGCTATCTATCTCCTTTCCAATGGAAAAGCACCTGGTCCAGATGCTATTCCAGCTGAAGTCTTCAAAGTGAGTGGTCCCGTTCTGACTGAGCAGCTACACAAGATATTTCAAAGAATTTGGGAGAGTGAGACCATCCCACAGGATCTTAAGGACATTGTAATAATCCCCCTGTACAAACGTAAAGGAAACCGGCAGTTCTGTGATAATCACCGAGGTATCTCACTGCTTTCAGTTGCCAGAAGGATTCTCCTGGGTCGTCTCACAGCTCATCTCGACAAAGGTCTCCTTCCTGAAAGTCAGTGTGGTTTAAAAAAAAAAAGATCGTGGAGCTGTTGATATTATTTTCGCTGCTGGACAGCTGCAAGGGAAATGTCAAGAACAAAATTCAAACATGTTTTCCACCTTTATTGATCTTACGAAAGCGTTTGGCACGGTAAATCGAGATGGACTGTGGAGAGTTATGGAAATTGGTTGTCCACACAAGTTCATCCAGATAGTGCGTCAGTTTCATGATGGCGTGCAAGCAAGAGTGTAGGATAACGGCGAACTGTCAGAGTCATTTCCTGTCACAAACGGAGTCAAACAGGGCTGCGTGCTTGCACCGTCACTGTTCAGTCTGTTATTTTCAGCCATACTGACTTATGCCTTTGTAAATGATCACACTGGAATCGACATAAATTACCGCATGGATGGAAAGCTGTTCAACCTCAGGAGACTGAAAGCAAAAAGAAAAACTAAATCAGACACCATCAGGGAGCTCTTTTCTGCCGACGATTGCGCCGTTTATGCCAACACAGAAGCGGATATGCAGCACAACATCGACAAATTCAGTGATGCCTGTACAAACTTTGGGCTCACCATCGACAAAGATAAAACTGTAGCCATGCACCAGCCAGCCCAGGGCAAAGATACATCGAGTCCAATACCACAGTGATGGCTACAGATTAAACGTTGTCAGGAAACGTACTTATCTAAGCAGCACCCTTTCACAGAGCGCCACAATTGATGACGCAGTAAATGCAAGGATCTCTAGGGCTAGCGTAGCCTCTGACAGATTGTACAAAAATGTTTGGAACAGAAGTGTCATAACCCTGCAGAGAGTGCTTAAAGTAAACAGAGCAGTCGTAGTTAATACTATTAACTACACTGCTGTACGCATGCGAAACATGGACTGTATAATAGGGCCAGGCTAGAAAGTTAAACCACTTTAACACTGTCTGCCTTAGAAAACTAATGCAGATCACATGGCAAGACAAAGAAAGTAGCTTATACCGTAGTCCTTGAGAAAGCAGCCATGCCCAGCATCCACACACTGCTGATGCAGTATCAAATTCGTTGAGCTGGTCGTGTGGCAAGCATGCCAGATTACAGGCTCCCAAAAAAAAAAACTTTTCTATGGTGAGCTGCAAAATGGGAAACGTTCCCATGGCGGGCAAAATAAACGCTTTAAGGACACCTTGAAGTCTTCACTCAAAGCATTTGGGATGAATGACACCAATTGGGAGGCTGCCTCTCAAGACCGAAATGCATGGCGTGCAACTCTACACACGACTACATGTGAAGCAAACAGAACAGCAAGACTGATAAAGAAAAGGATGGACAGAAAGGCGACTACATGAGATCTCCTCCCTGGCACAACGCTCATTCCCTGTCCTCATTGTCCAAGAACTTTTCGGGCCCTCATCAGCATCATCAGTCATCTTCGTGCTCATACTTGGTGAAAAAGAGTGGTCATCATCATCACAGTACTATTTTGTTATAACGAATTCTGAGGAACCAACAATTTAGTTTGTGTTAAAAAGAATTGTGCTAAGCGTGGACTATTCAGAATAAAAATAAAATATCCTGCAGGGGCCAAAGTTTTGTTTTATTAACTGAGTGGTCTTGAGCGAGTTCATATTAACAATGTTTTGCTGTATGATGTTTTCGTCCTCTTCCATCATAGATAGTTGTTATATTAACTGAGTGGTCTTGAGCGAGTTCATATTAACACAGTTTTGCTGTATGATGTTCTCGCCCTCTTCCATCATAGATAGTTGTTAAATTAACTGAGTGGTCTTGAGCGAGTTCATATTAACAATGTTTTGCTGTATGATGTTTTCGTCCTCTTCCATCATAGATAGTTGTTATATTAACTGAGTGGTCTTGAGCGAGTTCATATTAACACAGTTTTGCTGTATGATGTTCTCGCCCTCTTCCATCATAGATAGTTGTTAAATTAACTGAGTGGTCTTGAGCGAGTTCATATTAACAATGTTTTGCTGTATGATGTTTTCGTCCTCTTCCATCATAGATAGTTGTTATATTAACTGAGTGGTCTTGAGCGAGTTCATATTAACAAAGTTTTGCTGTATGATGTTCTCGCCCTCTTCCATCATAGATAGTTGTTAAATTAACTGAGTGGTCTTGAGCGAGTTCATATTAACAAAGTTTTGCTGTATGATGTTCTCGTCCTCTTCCATCATAGATAGTTGTTATATTAACCCACTGTTTATTAATTATTTTTTAAATTACTTCTTTCTCTGATGTCTTTGCATCTCTTCTCTCTCTCTCTTTCTCTCTCTCTCTCTCTCTCTCTCTCTCTCTCTCTCTCTCTCCCCCCCCCCCCATCCCCCCGCTCTCTGTATATCCCTGTCTGTCTGTTTCTCTCTGTTTTTTTTTTTTAACCTTTCTGACATTATACACTAGCAACAACTTGGAAATGCTAGTATACAACAGTGAGTGTTGGGAAATGATAGCAGGTATTATGTAGGGTAGAGACTAGACTTTCCAGACAATATCTAAGGAGAATCGTACGAAATTGTTAGCTAAACAAGATCATAAATGAAGAACTGAGTAGGAAAACAAAATGTTCATTACTAGCAAACGTTATCAAAGGAAGAAGATGGCTTGGACATGCTTGCTGAATGCGACTTTGGAACTTTGGCAAGGGCAGATCTGCGATGTAGGGCAGATAAAAGAAGAAGCCATGGACGATCTAAAAGCCAGAAATGGCACAAACACTAAAATTCAGTCACGAAAGTGACGCAAATAACCCAGACCACAAATATAGGCGGAGACTGCTAGTAGCCTAGGCTAGCTAGCAGCAGTCTGAACGTGGTCGAGCTTTTCTTTTTTTTTTTTTTTTTCTCAAAAGGACTTGGACTTGGACGATGTAAAAAAAAATCTAGTAGAAAAATAAAAGAAGGAGTGTAGGCTAACAAGGGATAAGAGAAACCGCAGACCGCCAAGAGTAGGGATCACTAGTAATTTGTTTTGTCAACAACGGCAAGAAGAGGATACAGATTTCGCAGAAAAGTTTTTGATGTCTTGAACAACCATAGTATTTAGCAACCGCCTAGGAAAATTTCACGAAAGAAGAAGATTATTTACAACTGCTTTTTGCGATGCGGTGGCAAGCGACTACGCACTTTGCGAAAAGACCGAGGTGTATGTGATAAAAACTAGTGCAATTAACTTGAATCTCTAGCCTTTGTATCCATTTAAAAACATAATACTTTTTTTTTAATGTTGAATTCTCACAAAACCTATTTAGCTATTTATTTATTTTGATTTCGACCCTGTAAAATCCATTGTGTATCGACTGATCGAAAAACTCCCGGGTCTCCAGGCAACCCCAAGGATCGATGAGCCATTTCTGACTGAGCGGTACAAGCTGGCAAACAGAAACTTGCTCTGCTCTAGCACCTTGCTGAATCCTTTGTTTTGCATGTTTTATTTTCTATCTTTTGTTCTGCGTCTCTCCAAGAGAAGCGCTGAAACAGTGGGCATGAAACATTGATTGGCTATCTGGCAGACGTCAGAAGGTATCAACTCAAAGAAACCAATAATCGATATCTGTTTACTTCTGGGAGATCGGTTTCAATTGGGCTTAAAATAGATTCTGGTTGGTACTTTATCACAACACTGTTTCTGTCTTTTTTCCCATAGGTCTGTCTGTCTACTTACCTACCAACCAGTCTACCTCTCTGGCTATATAAAATAAAATTCCACTTTTTAAGTGCGTGATAATACTAACAATAATAATTGTGCGTGCTGCTTGCCAAACATATAACATAATATATGTTTTAAAAATATATCTGAAATTATAAGAAATGGCTAAAATTTACTAGAGACCATCTTAACTTCTTCTTTATCAATATCTGTTTCTGCTGCTGCTGGGTGAGATGATTGTTTTCAGTAACATGCCACTGGTATTCTGCGACGATATGGACGACGCACTTATGGAAATATTTCGAATGCTGTGAAGTAGCTTCTCAACTTATCTCAATAACAACCATTAGCTTTGAAAAGATGAAGACACTGCAGTGCCCTTTCGATAAGTCACCTTTGGACATATGGAAAGGTTAACCCGGTCACCAAATTACCAAGATGATATAAGGTATGCTGATCGTAAGTTCCTAAGCGTTGCAAAC